GGAGCTGCCTCTTTGGTGGGAGAGGGACTTCAGCGGGGCTGAAGGGCAATGAGTCCCCGATTTTGAGGGTGGGTGGGGGTGTGGATTGACAGGGGAGGGGCAGAAAGAGGCAGGAGCAACCCCCTCCTCCCCCCACACACCCGCCCCCCCCCCCCCCCCCCCCCCCCCCCAAAAAGGCCCCCCCCCCCCACCCCGGGCTCTGCCAGGGGGACAAACGCCAGCCCCCCGGGTCGGGGAAGGGCTGGGGGCTCCAGCGCACCTCACCTGGAGGTACGTCTTGTACTCGATGAGCTTCTCGGTGCCTCGGTGCAGGAGGCCAACGTGGGGGTCACACTTCTTCACCGTCTCCCCGCTCAGCTCCATGACCAGCCGCAGCACCCCGTGGGCGGCCGGGTGCTGGGGCCCGAAGTTGATGGTCAAACTGGAGACCTTCTTGTGAGCCAGAGGGTCCTTGTCTGCCCCGGGGATGGAGAGAGGGGAGTCGGGCGGGGAGGAACGGCCATCCCCAGAAGCGCCGCTGCCCCCAGGCGCCCTCGGCCGATCCCGGAGAGGCAGAACGGACACCGGACAGACGGCCAAGGCGAGCTCAGCGCTTGGACGGACATCAGGAACGCGGCGTTCCCCACGGCCAACCCCCATCTCGGCCTGACACGAGACCCCTGGGGCAGGTCCAAGGGCCTCCCACGAGCCAGGTGGCTCCCGATGCTGCTGGCCCCAAAGGCCCCGCGGGACATTCAGGAGAACAAGGCAGCCCTGAGTCCTCGCTGGGCACCCAGTGAGCCCCACTCTGGCCCTGAGCACCCCCGGGGTCCCCAGGACACCCCCAGACCCACCCCAGCACCCACTGGGCCCTTGCTCCAGCCACAGGTTCCTCCCCTGAGTCCCAGGCCCCAGTGGGCATCCAAGGTGCCCCCAGACTCACCCAGGGCACCCCCTGGTCGCGTGTGACCCCCAAACTGGCATCCACCGAGCCCTCAGGGGGCCCCGAGTCCTCCCAGCAGCTCTGAGAACCCCCAGAGACCCCAAGAAGCCCCCAGTTTGGTTCTGAAGCCACTGAGCACCCTCAAAGGGCCCCTCCAGGGCCCACTCAGGGCACCCAACACCCTCCCAAGGGCCTCCAACACCTTCTCAGGGGCACCTTGTCCCTCCAGGGCCCACTCAGGGCACCGGACACCCCCCGGGGCCTCGGCCTCCCCCCTGAGGGGCCTCCCCAGGGGATCAGGTCGTGTCCCCCCCCACCAATGGCGACCGATCCCGTTCCAGGTCCCCGGTCTCCCTCCCACTTCTCCGTCTCCTTGCTCGGGTACATGACGGCGCCGGCGAACTGCTGGGCCCACTCCACATCGGGCTGCCATTGCTGCGCCCACCTGCGGGACGGGCCGTCAGGGGGAGGC